CATGTGGATGCTTAGCTGTCCGTATCAGAAACTGACACGCCATCCATGTCTTGAACTCCATGCAGGTTGCCTCTCTGTCTCAGGGTTACAGATACAGCAGCTCTCCTATCAGACCGGCTCCAAGATGTGCCCATATTCTGTGTACTCTTAGAGACACGAAGGCTGTCTTGATTAGATGACCTCCGTACACACCGTGATATCCACAATGTGAAGGAAGGCCTTCTGCTCTGTCTAATCTGACTAACAAATTAACAGTGCACATGATGTATAAATAATAAAACCTAACAAGTACACTGGGTGAACATGCACACTCCATGCAGAAAGGTTAGGAGTATAACTCAGGATCTACTTGTTGCAAATAAACATTTCCAGCTGCACCGCAAACATTTAAATAGGTGTAGTCATTCATTACAGTAATCATGTCTCTTATAGTGGGATACCAGAAAAATAACGATGGTTTATTGATAGCTAATAATAGAAGGAATCATCATAATGAATTATTGTGAACGGGAATTGTGATTTCTCAGTTCCTTGATCAATGGGCCTCATGTAACAGTATATTCTTACCTTTTCTCCTACCGTGTGCTCTTATGAATGCCCTACATCAGATTGAACAAAAACCTTTGAACTCAAATGAATATGATCCGCATAAACATGTTGTATCCCGCCTGTGCATAAGTGAGCGTGCATGTCGAAAAATAGGTAACGGTTTCTTTTACAGTACATCAATAATCATGTAATAACATAGTAATAACATAACAAGCCGAACTATAGTACTTGGTAATAAGAAAAACTTTACCCTAAGATTAAGGTATATGATTTCTAAATAATAACTTGCATGTAATTATTATAATTGTATGTGATTATGTAACAATGTAATTACCATTGGTTTAGCACGTAACATTTTTTATTATTGGTCACCACCTACAAATATAAAATGGAACTCAAGTTACACATAAATAAGAGTTTAGTAAAGAAGATTGGTTTGCTGTCTTCTAGGTTTGGTTTTCTGTTATACACCTAGTAATAAATATTTTACATTTTAACAGCATTTTAACAGCATTTTAACATATAACACATTCATTGATTGCTGTCTGTGAAATTACTATGAGTTAGATGGTAATAACGGTTGGAAATCTTAGAACTCTGACTTTACATTTTCCGCCTAAAATTTGAAGCACAGCACTTAGTAAAATTCTCCATAATTTTTTTCTGATTACCTTGTAATATAGTGTAACCTGCTGTGTTAATATCAGGTTATTAAACCGTCATTGATGTACTGTAAAAGAAGGTGCTACAGAGAAATGTGCATCTGCATAATTATCGCCCCAATAATGTCCTAGCAGGGTACTACTTCCCACGCTTGTTACTTCACAGAAATGGCATTGAAGCAAAGAATAGTGACTATATCACTTTGGAGATGGAGGTTCTGCTGACTGAGAGCTGAGCAGCAGAATTAAAGGCCAAGCAGTGAAATGAATCACAAGAGCTGTATATGTCATGATTGCAGAAGTAAAAATAAAATTAAAAATAATAACAAAACTTAAAATAAAAAGAAATTTGAACTGAAAACAGTCACTGAAAACTACTGATGGAGGTAAATCAACCTTTAACAATAAGGTACTTTAACAATAAGTTGGACTGGATTAGAAACACCGAGGTGGTCTACAAAAAGGGCCAAAGCTGACTATTCTTCCTGAGGAGGCTGAAGTCCTTTCACATCTGTGGGGCGATGCTGAAGATGTTTTATGAGTCAGTTGTTGCTACTGTAGCACGCTCTTCTTTGCTGTCACATGCTGAGGCAGTGGGCTGAGGGTCGCTGAAAACAACAGACTGAACAAAGTGATCAGGAGGGCCGGTGATGTTGTGGGGGAGCAGCTGGACACCCTGACCATCGTGGCAGAGAGGAGGATGCTGTCCAGGTTTCAGTCCATCTTAGACAATGACTCACATCCTCTCCACGACACACTAGTCCATCAGACGAGCTCCTTCAGCAGAAGACGACTCTTACCCAGATGCACCACAGAGCGCCACAGGAAGTCATTCCTACCTGTGGTCATCAATCTCTATAACGCCTCCCTCAAGTGATTCCCCTGTAATTGACATTTATGCACTATTTTTTCAGGCCACATATCACTTTACTTGGATTTATCACTTTACTTGGATTTATCACTTTACTTGGATTTTTATTTTACTTGGATTTAGTTTTATATATGCATATACAGTATATATATATATATACACAGGAGAGCTATATGTCAATATATTTTTATCTCTTTTTTATTTTTATATTTATTATCTTGTGTAGTTGGATGTGTATATATATATTTAAAACTGTAACTGGAGCGTGTAACTAAAGTAATTTCCCTCTGGGATTATTAAAATATTTCTGATTCTGAACCAACACATGTCATTCTGCTAAATCTCCTTTTAATATAGGCACATATTTACTGTACATCTCTAGACCACATCTGTCATCACTTCATCTAATTTGATGAAGTCAGACAGACCCAAATGTTCCACATGTTATGTAATAAAGCCAAAGAGCTTCCATGGAGTTAAAGGAATGCATGTCGTACCGCTAGAGGAGTTTAAAAGCAGCAAGTCTCTGAACTTTATTTGGATTTTCCATCCATTTTCTGTTCCAGGTTTTATTTCAGTAGTAGCTTGCTCTCACATAAAGCTCACTGACTATTCTTTCTTTTGACAACATGACAAAAAATTTGACCAGTTTGCCCTGGATACTGAAATACCAACTGCAGGTGTAGTGACTGACAGTTCTGTCATGAGCCAAAAAAATGTCAATTTATTATTGCAGAGTTACATAATCTATAATGCTGGAGGGCTTGATGAAATCGATAAAACAAATGTGGTAATTTAGTGAAAAAACAGGATAAAAACTTGGACAACAGCCAACTGATTGCTCAAGACTTTGTCTGGAACACTCGTAAAAAGAATTTCGTACCTGAGAAAAAATTAGTAATAGGAGAAAAATGGTGAAAGCGACATTTTATACTCAATCACTCATACAAATAATTTAGGAACTAATTTGTCTATATGAACAGTTTCAGCATAGGGCCATACACTTTGTTATACGTCTGTAAATCTATATACGGTAACAGGGGAAAATATGTATCTCCAATTCATGACAGCAGCATGTAAAATGAGACTGCACAGCAGATTGGATTAATTAAAGTACCAGTTATTAAACAGGTAGAGAAATAGGTGTTTTATACAAAAAATGTTTTACTGTTCTACTGTGAGGGGTTGAAAAAATGCTGAGCAAATCTCTGGTGCCTCTGAAAAGGATTTACAAACCCCTGATAAAATACCAGGTCCTTTTGGTGTAAAAATAAGACAATAGCACTGATGAGACAAATACTCTGTACAATTGAAAAACAGCTACCATGAAATTTAGAGAATAGGATTAACATTAAAGGAATAGTACACCTAAAACATGATTAGCCTTCATTTTCTACTCACCCCCATGCTGAACAACACTCTGGAGTACTTTTTTGATATCTCAAATGCATCTGGAGATCTGGGAGGCTTCTTGCTGTCTGCTGACATTCAAATAATGGAGGTCTATGGCGCCCGAGGCAGAAAGGTCCATTAAAGTCCACAAAAAACGTGTCAATATTCCTCCATACTGCTCGTCCAATGTATTCCAAGTGTCCTGAGTGGGTAGCATACAGAATTTACTCGAAACGAAGTCATTTAGAATGTTTTTAGAGCATAAACAGTAGTGTATAGGATTTCCTGAAAGCGCGCGCCTGCGCGTTCACGACGCTACGGAAGCCGGCAGACCAAACCAGATGAAAGTGCGCATTCAGCGTCTGCTCTGCCAATAATGCAAGCGTAGAAGAAGAAATGTGCTGTTTACCTGTGCAAAGAAAGAAACAACGAAAGAAAAATGTCTGAGGACTTCAGTGTTGAGGAAGAGCATGAGTTCTTTGCCGAGCTGAATGCGCACTTTCATCTGGTTTGGTCTGCCGCGGTTTCCGTAGCGTCGTGAAAAATATAGCACTTATACTGTTCAATTTGTTGAGAAAACGTTAAGATAAATCCTTTTTTTCTACTCCTGGTATGTGTAGAGCCCTAGAAATAGAATAGTGTAGAATGTGATAAAGTTAAAATTGATAGGCATAATTATCATATTGGGCAAGCGTTTATTAGATTTATTATTGAGTTAGTAAAATTCATTTGGTTTATGACAAAATATGTGCTAAAACTACTTGTTTTTATTTTTTATGTATATTTCATACATTTGTGTAACGATAATACCCCTTTAAGAGGACATGATGCATGATGGGAAGAAAGTTCATGCTCTGTGTGTACCTTAAGAAGAAAGAAAAAACTATATATGCTGTATGCTTGAACCGTGGATTTAGTTTAATAAAGTTGCACAAAAGGGAAAATCTATGTGTTTATTTTAGTTCTTTTTAAGGGTGCAACATATGTTTCTTTAGGTACCAGGATGGCTGAGATGTAGGAAGATCCAAAGTTTAAAGCATTTCTGTAGATGGCTAGCTAAGCCATATTTGTACAGCAGGGTGGCTGATGGCCTACGATGAATGATTTAAGAATTTCTCCCTTGTTTTTCCATTTTCTGGTGCCCTGGAATAAACTAATTATGATCTAGCAGCAGCTGAGAGGTGGATTAGTTAAGGTGGTATAAGTTCAGCTGCTGGGAAGATGTCTTTATTTGTATTTTTAATAACAAATTGGTGCATGATGTACAAACAACAATACAGAGTATATATGCATCATAACTTAATGGTTTCTTTTCTAACTAATAGCACAGTTTAAGCTTTGTCTGTAAAGTTTTCTCTATATGTTTTGATGCAAGGTGTTAATGGAAATCTAAATCTAGACTAATTTAGATTTCCATTAAAATTTAAAGAAATATAGAAATATAAGGGACATTTTTCTGAGGAAAGATGGTTAAGAAAGAGAAGAAACATCCATTCCAAATCTTGGTGAGAAAAAAGTGACCCATGTTTGTCTATAAATTATGTTTAATAAAGTGAAATGACACATGGAACATGTCCTGAAAACATGAGAAGCTGCAAAATAAGGCAGAAAGCCAAGTAGGCAGGTTAAATCGTTTAAAACGTTTAGGGGAAAAAAAAAAAATGTACCTCCTGCCAGTACACAGAAATATCCACCCATTTAGTCCTGGGTAATATAAAGGTTTCTTCCTACTAAAAATACAAATCTTAAGGTGTATCACAGCCAAAAGCTCTCCTAAAACCTTCAGGAACTTATTGTGAATATATCAACATCGGTTACAGGTCTTACTACTACTACTACATCATGGAAAGCGCCAGATAGCACCCTTGGAGCCAAAATCTAAGTAAGAAAAATAATTTCACCATAAAGTAGCCCTCACCAGGTGCTCCTCAGAAGAGTCCAGAAATATTAAAGAGATAAGTTGTCCAGTAGCTAAAGACCATTCACAAAGACCTGGAGTTAGCAAGTAGAGTTTGGCCTTGAAAACAACTGGTAATACATTTGAACCTGTGGCCACTACGATCGCTCAGTGCATAAAATCCATTGCTGTAGAAAAATTATGTTACGGTTCATTTAAGGCTCTTTGTTTTACCCTCAGAATTGCTTATTTGGCAAACTGAATATATTTCCCTCTCAGTTCAGCAGCTGATTAACAGATCGTCCCTTTAAAGGCATTAAGAGGCTCCGGTAATTCAACCGAACTCTGTTACTCTTCTTTGCGAGTCGCTGTTCTCTGAACATGTCCGTTCAGCTTTTCTTTACCCAACTTTCCCTCTGCTTGAAGTTTCCGAATCAGATCTATGGGGCCCTTCCCCATCAGAGCCGATGGATGCCTGTAGGAACCTCCCAGCCGGTCCCATAGGGTGAAGTACTGGCCATAGTTGTAGTCGAAGAAGAGGTGATGGTCAGTGTGGTGGGCCGCGCCGTTGATGACGCTAATCAGGCCGCTGGGAACGCGATAGTCACCATCGTGGATGGAGATGGTCCAGATGTTGACGAACACATAGAGGGCCAAGTAGAGGACCTTGTGAAGGGGGAAGAGGAAGGGATAGATGTGATATGGGAGGCCCTGCAGGAAGCCGTCGACGGGATGGAAGGCGTGGCTGGCGAAGGGGGAAGGGATCTTCCAAACGTGGTGTGGCTTGTGAAACATCTGGTGTGAAAAAGAAAAGCAATAAGATATTTTTACCCTCTAACCATTACTATGCTAAAGATAGAAAAAAAGCCTCTCAGTGATTACCTGATGAAATTATAAATCATATTTATAACTCATTTTTTCTCACTAACTTTATCCATACTAAATCTTTCCTTTTAGATGTAGGTCAGTTAGAAAAAATCTAAATAAAAAAATCTGAGAGAGACTGGACCCCTCTGCAAAATATTCGTTAAGTTGTATTCTTTTTATTCAAATGGTATTTTATGCATTTATTACTAATGTATTGCATTTATTTTAGTCCTACTTCATTTTTCCTTAGTGGTTACTTCACTTGTCAGGTTGCCGTTGTAAATAAGAACTTGCCTGCAAAAATAAAGGTATAATGAAAATTTATTTTGGACTTAAAATAAAATTATAACCATCTTAAATTAAACACGCTGCTTTATAACAGGCAAAAACAAAAAAAACAAACAGCTCAGACTTTAAAAGGCATTTCAATCCATCGATATCAGTATGAAATTATAGATATAAAACTGTTAGAAAACAATGTTTAGTGCAGACTTTGGTTTCTTAGTGATAAATAAAACATTATATTAAAAAAAAGCAACAACAAAAAAACCCCCAAAAAGAACAAGTTAACTTTTTTATGATTTAAAAATAAGTAAACAACTTGACATGATTGTGTTTCATGTTATCAACAGGTTAATGAGAACTCCTGGAATCTGCCTCTGGTATATCTCAATTACAATTTCTTAGGAACTTATTGTGTTTTTAATTGTTACAAAAATGTCAGAATATAAGGTTTCCTGTGATTGAAAATGAAAAGTATTTTATGCCGTGCATCGTCTTTCTGCTATCACCTTTATCATTATGGCTGTGAATCAATACACCATTTTTTGCACCTTAGCTTGGCATTGCTGACTCTCTTGATTTCTTTGCCGTGTTAGTATGTGTATGCTGTATCTGTATGATCATGTTGTGGTAAATCAGGGTTCCTACAGCATAAGGCAAGTTAAATTCAAGACTTTTTAAGGCTTTTTAATGCCACTTGAAATAAAAATTTAAGACCAAATTCACAAGAAACACAAGAAAAACCTGCTTGCGACAACTAAACCCAAAGGTTTATTTTAACATAAACCACTGCACTAATGTTTCATATTTTGAAAAGCTTCCCATACAAGGAGAAAGCTAAAAACACACAAATGACAGATATATTTGAACAACGATTTAACTGAATTCACAATCTTTGTTTTAGCAGGGAACAAAACAAATCAGCTTTAAAGCCACAACATAACCAGTGCTAAGTCTTTTTTGCAGCTATTTTTCTTTGTATGGTTTTCTTAGTATGTTTGATTTGGTGATAAGTGGAGGCGTTGCAGAGACAAGGGTGGAACTAAACTGAGAAATACCGGCTGTTTCTCGGTAACTCGATTTTAACGCTTTGTGTTTCGTGCTTCACATGTGCGACTCCACTGCCTTAATTCCCATCGTTCCGAGCTTGAATCGCTTCTTGCACTAAATCCACTGAGCCTCATGTATGTTCCCTGGTTTTAGCCATGGAGAAAACTCTTGGCTGGAGACAATTTTCGTTACATTTACACTTGCTCATATTTTCCAGACAAAAAGTTAATGGTGCATCTTCCAAATGTCCCGGCCGCAACAACGCTTTTATTGGTTCCGCTATCGGGACGGAACCAATAATGGCGAGCCGTTATTTTATTTTTATTTAAAAAAACAAACATGTCAATTTTAACGTTTTATTTAGATTACAAAAATAAATCGTAATTAAAAATAATCCTATTCATGATGTTTTAAAAATTAAGACCTACGAAAGACTGATTTAATACATTTTAATACCAATTAAGGCCTTGGTTTTATTTTGAAGAATTCAATGCCTTTTAAGACTTTTTAAGGACCCGCGGAACATTTTTTGTTTACTAACAAATAGAGTAAAAAGAAAACACCAATATTTAATATAATAAGCCAACAGGGTGCAATAAAGACCTACGTATACAACTGTTGGGAGCTACTGGCACTGGAAACAAACAAACAAAAAAATAAAATACAGGTGTGCACACCTTGTAGATAAGCTTGTGGTGCAGGAAGCGATGAATCCAGTAGATGCACATATCGGTGAAAAATAGGAAGGAGATCATACTCAGGAAGAGGCCTGGCCAACCTAGGAGCACAGAGGAGACATCAGCAGTGAATTAGGAGGGAATTCAAGATTTAGACAGGTTCTAACAAGCGTAAGAAAACAACAGGAACAAAAGTCTGTATAACTCACCCAAAGGAGAGTCGCTGACGTTGTCGTACAGTTTGCTGTATCCCCTGACTTCAGCGAAAAACAAGGCCACTGTGGGGATGCTGATACACGGCAGAGAGGTCATGGCATATTTAATTTCTCTCCACACCTGATTCTGGAAATGAAGTATCATCCAACATTATGTTTGTGTTGGTAAAATGGACAGAAAACATATGAAAAAAGAAGCAAATGGAACAGAAAAGCAAATACGGATAAAACTAAAACTAAAAAGGAAATAAAGTCAAAGGTTGTTTTTGAGGATTTTGGAATGAGACCAACAAGACAAAGAAAAGTGTCTAAGTGTTCAAACAATCAGTTCACAAAGGAAAGCTAAATGAAAAATAATAAAGTATTATTTAAAAAAAAAAATAGGATGGGTGACGGGCTGGCCTGGACTCAGCTAGGCTTGCTACGTGAGTGGCAGTTAAAACAACCCATTTTCCAGACACTCGCAAAATATTTACTTATTGCAAAAGAACAAACAAAAAAAAAATGGCTGGAAGATTTATTTTGAACCTGGACTGTTTACATAACCGTTAGAGACTTAAATGGAAGTTCAACATTATGATAAAAGGGAATTTTGTATAACAGATCCCCTTTAACTAAGGTTTAGAAGCAGAGCCGTCTCAGCCATACCTCTAAACCACAGTTTGCCCAACCTGGACCATCTCTGCACGTACTCCAATCACTTATGTTTTTCCCTTTTCTCATTTTGTTCTTCATCTATGTCTAATCCAACATAGATTTTGAATATAAATAATTAATTTCATGCATTTTTTTTAATAAAAAGCTATAAAATTAAAACATATATTGTGCATTCTCCTTTTACATCGTTTTAATATCTATATATCTATAATTTCCTGCTAAATCCAGGAATATTAATACTTTTTTGAATTATCTATATTCAATTTAATATCTATATATCTGGATTATATAATATGTTTTATTCATCTAATAGGCTGTTTTTGCCTCATGGTATCACAAAACAAGTTAACCAACAGCCCTTGGGGCAAAAACACTTTTGCACGACTTCTTGCTTGTCAGCTCTTCAGATGTCAACTGTTCTGTCTGCGATCACACCCAAATGACCTGGCGGTGATCCAGGTCAATTATTGTAGCACCGTTATGAGCATGCAACCCTGCCAACTGCTTTGGCATGAACAACGAGCAAAATAAATTAACATTCCACAATTTAAAAAGGGGAAAAAAATAATAAAATACTCTGACGGAAACTCTTTGCACTTTGAAATCTTTGTGTGCTGTTGGGCCACAAACTCTCAGCTCAGGAGAAGCGTACACACCTTGAAATCGTGCACACTCACAAAATTTGTATTTCTTTCCATCACGCTTTTAATTATTTTTAATTGTTTTCTTTCCCTTTTGCTTATAATGTTTTATGTAAAGCACTTTGAATTGTTCTGTACATGAAATGTGCTATACAAATAAACTTGCCTTGCCTTGCCTAGCCTTTATTGGGGTGATCAGAAAAAAAAAGCTATTTTAAATTTGTTGTATGATTCCTTCTGACTGCGCTCACTGCTCTCATTCTCATTATCGTCTGGTTAGCAGTCCGATGACGTCATACTTGAGGGCGAATCTTCTCTGTCTGGATCAGAAGAAGAGGAGGATTTTGAGGAGGCAGGAGACAGCTTGAGCGCAGTTTGAATAAACTTACCTTCATTGCTTTGTTTAATAACTGGGATCAAGGTGAATTGATATAAAAATCTGTCCATATAATAAAATTACTATAACTTGTTTTGGTAACCTGACTTAAGATTTGACATGAATTGTGTCATTGTACTATTTAATAAATAGATCAATAATAAATAATCTATCCTTAACCATTTTTTAAATAACTAAATAATATTTGGGATAAGCTTAGTCTGTATATACAGTTTAATTTCCGTTATTAAAAAGCAGACTGTTTGAGCTTTTTGGTTAAAAACTTTTAAGGAAGTTTGTTTATTAATGTGTACTAAATGTGTTACGACTCAGACTTCATAGGGTCTCAAGATCCCAAAACCCCAAAAGATTACAATAAATATATTGCATCAAATTGTAGTATTTCATATGTATAGTTTGTATTTTAGAAACAAGTAATGCTGAGATTAAACAACTGACCCCAAAAACTTTTCCACAGTTCACACTTGAAATAAAAACAATAAAAATGTTTCCATCTTTAGGAGCAGTAACTGGTTGGTGCTCTTTTAAATTTCTCCAAACAATAAAGAAAGAATGTTTACCAGGTTCATCAGTTCTGGCACTTATTCTGTTACTGCATCAACTAATTAGCAATATATGGTATCCATACCTCTAAGAAATGTGGGTGTTTCATCAGATTGTGGTCAAAGATGAAATAATAGCTGAATGCTCCCAGGCCAAGATACAAGATGGCAGCCCCGAGGTTGGTCACCACCAGGAGACTGAGGATCTGCCGCAGTGCCCCGTCCTCAGGCCATGATTCAGGGTACACGTACGGAGTGAAGAAGTAATAGTCAGCGACATTCAGAACGAGGTCCATGGCTGAGGCTGCAGGAAAGCATTGAAAAAAAAAAAAAACATCAAGAGACTTGCACTCAAGTGCTTGAAAACAAAGACTGACAACTTTTCCCCCCAGTCTTAATTATAGTGAAGACATCAGGTAATAAAAGTTAATCTCAACAAGCTGGTTCTTCATTCTAAAGTATATTTACTTCAGTGACTCAATTCTAGAAGAAAATCTAAAGCAGATCTAGATTTCAGACGGACATTACACTTGATAAAACCACATGGCACAGATCCAGTGGACTAAAGTCTAAATAATAATCCAGTAGCTCTGAGCCTCTCAACTCTTCCTAAAGACACTGACATAGAACTAAAATGCCAACTTTACTTCAATCTAAGAGAATATTTTTACATAAATTTTAGCTGTTTTTCTCCTTAACTACGGAAAGCAGCTTCTAACTTTGCCCCTGGTTCAAGAGATTCAATAATAAGGATTCTAACATCTATAAACTATGATCTAAATACATTATGTGTGCCTGTTAAAGCTCAGACTAGAGCTGCTTAAAACACTTTGTGGATTTGCCACCAAGATTTCCTCATTGTTAAAACACTTTTTCATCCAAACGTTTTCCTTCCACTAAACTTTCCATATGTTTGTATACAACTGTATTTTGTCAGCTACTTTAGCCACATTCTTTTGTCACAACACAAAGAGCAATATTTTCTGTGACAGTGTAAAATTAGAACAACAATACTAATAATTAATTCTATAAAGTTGCTTTTTGCTGTAAAATCATCAAGCCTAATTTATACAAATGTCCTTATGTAAATATCTCTGGACTCTGGACTCACCTCTGGACTCCTGGATCCTAACTAAATGAACATCTCTGTTGGATAATGTCTCCCACCCCATGCATGAAGCTTTTGCAGAACTGGAGAGCTCCTTCAGTGACAGACTTTTGCACCCTAAATGCACCAAGGAGCGTTATCAAAGATCCTTCCTCCCAGCAGCTGGAAGACTCTAGAACCACCAGTTTCCAACATCCCCTATAATTTGTTACATTCATGCTGATTTTTGCACAGTTTCCACCTTAGGCAGGTAAATAACATGCTGCTGTCATTTTTTGCACATCTCTGGTGTTGCTATTTTTCGTATATTCATTACTGTAAAAATGTCCATAGCTGTATTTTGGTTATTTATTCTCTAGGTGAACAGTTTTAATATTGTTATAACACTTTACAGTACAGTATTTTATTTTTTAATTGTTCACTATTTTGTTATTCTTGTACACTTTTTATTTTTTCTATAATATTTTTTGCAGCTGTAACACCAGAACATCCCCATTGTGGGACAAGAAAGGGATTTTCTATTTTATTCTATTCTAACTAATTTAATCCCTTATCTACTCGGAAATGTAAACATTTCCTCATCAGTCTTAAACATTTCCATTAAACAGGGCGAGACTCATTTAAAGTACTTTATACCTGCACCCATTAACGGTTATTATTAAACACAAAAAAGCATTAAAATTCAGCTGTATTTTAAATATGGCGACATATTATGCCTCGAATCTGCTGAACCGTTAATAAAGCCGAAAAGGAGAAACTAGATTATTTGTAACACCGGAAACCAAATTCTTCGTGGATATTTGATATAGCATTAAACACACGATTTAGTTTCATAAAGTTAAAGTTTTATCAAGAGAAATGAGCTACGCACCTTCCACCGATGTGTTCCGTGTATCCTGGATCAAAGGTAAGGGGCGTGAGTGACCCACTAAAGGAAGGGGAGGGACCAATCAAAACCGAGCTACGCATTACGTCAAATAAATATAAGCCAATCGGTGATAAGCAAACCATCGCAGTAGGATTATGGTTGTTCCTCATTGGCTGCAGAGGGGGATCTGATCATGGCGTTACAAAAAGAATGACAACTAGATAACTGGACAACATAAACTTTTTTCCCCTCCTGAATGTTAAATATGTATTTTTTTTAACGATGTTGAGGAGACCAATCTTTTAAAAACAACAATGGTGTCTTTTAAAAACATAACACATCAGACATTTTTAATGAAATAGATTAATAGATAACCCCACTACATAGATACAAACACAAAAACAATAAGTGTTACAAATAAAAACAATAGCTATATCTATATATATTGTTAAAGATGCTCTATCTCTCCGGTTCTTTTCCCTGAAAAGAGATCATTCGGACAAACTCTTTAAATAACATTTCATAACTTCTATGTATTACATAACCAGGAGACATGACAAAACTGATTTTGATAGAAATTGTAATCGTAATCAGATCAGAGAAATTGCTTAGAGTTTAAAGGATGGCAGCTGCTCACCTTTGGGCTCACCTCTCAGGAAGTGGCCCTGAATAACAGTTAAAAAGGCATTTTATACATCTCCAGTCGGCCACATCATCATATTTTACATCATACACATTAGCAGATGATTAGACATCCATGACTCCAGCCTTATCAAAATATTACACTTGGTTCTTAGCTGAAGGACACCACTCTAATTCCATTTCCAAATCTTTGCCACGTACAAACTGTACATCCTGACAGAGGAATTGTCCTCATTAGATCAAAATGTCAGTTCTTAAGCACAACAGGCAGCCCATTCCAGGGTGTGATAAACTCACACATCTTCAATGATAATTATCCTAACATTTCCCCCTGAAAAACAAACTCATTAATGACTGCTCATGAACAGGATATTAATCATAGAAGAAAACTTTAAATGCTGTTTCTTTCAACATCTTAGAATCATGGAATAAACAATCAACAGTCCCCCTGATGATGTATCATTAATCAGGGATCAGAAGTAATCACAATCAAAACTTCAGACCAAATGTTGTCACTCAAGACCACTATATTTCATTACCAGCAATTATACAGTGGAAAGTACTTTGGCAGTGAAGCACACCTTTCCCCCATGTTTTTTTTATTTTATGGTCGCCTAAGGTCACCACTGTACCTTCATAAAACAGAACACTTCACCATAGTGGACGTTTAGGAAAGGAATTGTCCCTGAATATTTTTTAAGAGCCACAAAGCTTTGCCCCTTGGCTCTCCCTACAACAAAAATGACTTTCTGAAGCTCTTGCCAGTGTAAAAACTTCATAAACACAAATTTGATGCAGAGGACATATTGAACCACTAGATGTCACCATTGCTCTGAATAAGACGACTTATCATTTCTGAAATCTTTAGGTATATGGGATAGATATAACTTAAAACTATTTACTTAACATATATAATATATACAGTATGTACTCTATAAACCTCATAATAAGAGTACAGAACAGAGGGAGGCCCTTAGTTTTTTTTTTTTATCTGTTTTACAATGACAGTATTTGTAGTTATTTTATTTATTAAAATGAATGTGTATTTTGTGGTGTTTGAAATTGCATTTAATGAAAGCATCACTAATAGAAGATTAAGAAATTTAATTTAAATGTGGTTTTAATTTTTAAATCTTTATTCTTTGTCTTATTATAAATTTATTTCCTTTTCCTCTTTGCAACTTCTTTAATATGACCCACTGCCACTTATTATTAGTTTCCTATTAAATATTTCATGCCAATTTCATCAGTAAAAAGTACCATTTATTTTAATGCCTTGCAAAATTATTCATCTTTCTTGATTTTTTTTTTTTATCCATGTCAGCCAGAATCTTCATCCACATTTTATATTTTAGAGCAATGGAAACTAGTGCAAAGTGGACAGAAATTAACACATAGTTTTCAACTCTATGAAAAAATAACAAGAAATCTGTGTCAGGTCCCTCAGTCAGTTCTATGTAGAACCTCTATTCACTTCAGTTACACCTGCGGGTCCTTTGTGACGAGTCTTTATCAGCTTTGCTCATGTGTGACACATGCAAATTTACAGACCTTCATATATTTCGAGTGTAATGATAGAGAGCTTCATCCATTTCTGTAACCAACATTTTTATAGTCCTTAGTTCTTATTTTGGCACCATGAAAGATTAATTAATAGGAACTAGCAACAGGAGTTAGGGCTATAATTCAGTGTACTCAGATTAAGCCATTGAGTTTCTTCCTGGCAATCTTACATACGTGCCAGATTTTTTATAGATAAAATACTAATGGCTGTTCTGTTGATCAGACAATCTTCTCCAAAATGTCTGCTGTGTCTACATGGTATTTGACAACCTAATAATAATTGAACTTTGATCTCACTCTGGAGAAATTTTCCTCTGCATTTAACCCATCTACAAGAGGAGCAATGGGCTGCCATTGCGTGGCACCCACGGTGCAGGGTGTGGTTAAGGGATTTGCAGAGGGACCCCCGTGTGGAGACTGAGGGGATTGAACTGGGAACTTGCAACCTGCAGACAAAGCTTGGATTCATTTAGACACCCTGTCTAAATGCAATGTTGACATCTAGTGGTTCAATATGATATCAGGCACCCTGTCTACTTTTAAGGGTAGGCTTAAAACTTTCCTTTTTGATAAAGCTTATAGTTAGAGTGACTCAGGTTATCCTATGCTGCTATAGGCTTAGACTGCTGGAGGACATAGGGACCCCTATTGCATCATTCTATCTCTATTCTCTCTCTGCTTTTTCTCATAGTAGCTTTGCCTCGTCTGTTCCTTTTTGGCTGTGACACCATCCTTGAGAGAAATAGCTGTGCTGCTGCCATCAACACCCTTGTTTATAGTTTCTCTGCTTCTTTTTCTATGTCTGCTTCTCTCTCCTTAAACCCCATTCGGCCTCGGCAGATGGCCGCTCACACTAAGCCTGGATCTGCTGGAGGTTTCTTCCTGTTAAAATGGAGTTTTTCCTCTCTACTATTGCTACAAGCATGCTTAGTGTGGGGGATTGCCTTCAAGTAAATGAGTTGATGCAATCGACTGGATTTCCTTAGATAGAAAACTTGGTGCTATATAAATAAACTGAATTGAATTTACTCATTAACTCTTTTCAATAGGTTTCTGTCTTTTTTGTGCAAATATTTCATTAAGATTTGACTTGGGGAGCTCTCCAGTATCTGTATCATCCGTATTCCTGTAGTCTCCTACCTGAGCAGTATTTTAGCTCCTCCAGAGTCCAGCTCCCCTTGGCTACTTCTCTGATTAATGCTCTCCTTGGTCATCTTTTCAGTTGAGGTTGCCATCCACAGCTAGGTAGGTCTGCAGTTGGTCCATCCTATCTCCATGTTTAGGGGATGGATTAGACAGACCTATGGGAGGTGTTCAAGGCTCATATTTACTCATGATCCAACCCTGCTTCAAACTCTTCCACAACTTTCTCCCGGATATTCTACATGGTCCTTTGATTTTAATGATACTGGTTGTTCTTTGATGCTGTCTAACAAACATCTTAGACCAGAAACAGAACAACTGGTCTCTGTTTTCAATGGGATGATAGGGGTTTTTAGGGAATTCACAATAAAAGGGGCTGGCTATAAATACTGGCTTCTTTGTGTTGCTCTGTCTTGCTAAATCTAACCAAAAAGCAATAAGTTTTGTTTTTCAAAGTTAATTAACACTTTCCAAGCATATCTTGTTGCAATGAACCTAGTAATCATGTAGTAATTATCAATCATTATCTTGACTTATTGAATCAATTATGTGAAAGTCTACTTTAACAGCGTGGACCAACAGAATATTTTCAAATAAAGAAATGTGGTTTGGTTGCCTGAAACATTTACTGCTTTAGATTTTGTCTATGTTTTGAAATACTTAATATTGTTTAAAGGCTTTTCTCTCTGTCTGATGACAAACATGAAACACTCAGGATTATCAGCAGAGAGGCGACACTCATGCCGAGATCTATATAACCCGCTCCGACATCTTCTTCAGCTGCAGTTAATTTACCACTTGTAGAAATATAATCATATCTAGGGAAATCTTCTAAGTCTATGTCCAGCTATTTTTAATAATCACAATAAGGGCCACTGCGGTGTTCATCCACCCCACCTGTTGTTAAATATTCTAAATTCTAGACTTTCTAGCACCAACATGACATTTTCCTGACTTCCCTCTTATCTCAAATAATGTCCTCTTTACTCTAATGTCCCTTAACAATCACAGCATTTTCTTTATTCTCTAAGAAGTTATTTAGTCCTTATAGATTACTTGTTTTGTTTTTTTGATTAAACACATTTCAACATCATAGAAAGATGACACATTGTTATAATACATTAATACATACACATTTTTAACATTTGGATTTAATTTATAAAGTAAACAAGAAAAAATAGCTATGTAAACCTATCTGAAGCTGTGAAAAGAAATAATGGCCCTCTTATACATAGAAACCTCATAACTGTTTGCACACCCTTGAGCTACCATGAAGCGTTTGGGATAACTGTTATTGGGGGGTTGATTTACATTGGAACTGGGAGGTCAAAGTTAACCTGACTCCGCCGGAAACCTTCCGTTGAAGTAATTTTGGGAAGGGGCGAAAATACTGGTTGGCTGATTGGCCTATGTTGGTGATAGATGGGCCAAATAAACGAATCAGATCAACAAAGCATATGACGTACTAACAGAGCGACGTCGAAAACACAACCACAAGCCAGGGTACTCTTGCCGAAACCAGTCGGGAGAAGAGCAAAAACATCTTTTCCTCTGAGAAAAGCCTCCAGAGCAGTGTTTTGCTCTTCTTTCAGTGAAGAAATACTCTGTAATTCCGATAAAACTTGCTCGATAGCCACGCTAACGCTAGTTTCATCGGCTGAAGCCGCCATGTTCTTTAGACTGAACTGTCGCGCTTCTCGTAGCGTCACACCTCAACCCGC